AACGTTTGTGTTGTTATTTGTCCTTTTTGATGTTTAACAGAAATGGAAAAGAAAAATACAGAGTTTAGTGTAATCTAAATATTAAGGGACCCAAAACATTTATTATGATTCTTCATTAATTTAAAGCAAAGCTTTAAAGGTTGACAGCCCGACTCTTCTCCGCAATCTGCTTACTAGGCTTTCTGGGAGCTTCCGGAGTGGTATGTGTGGGTGGTGGGGAAATGCACCATCCACACAAAAACCGCCACAATACCTTACTGCCTTTCTGTTTTATGATGCTTGTATTTCAACTGCTTGAATTTGGAGACCCTCAAAAATAGCTAAAAACGGATTTGGCAGCAGGTGACACGACAAAAAAACTTTTGAAAGTGTTAATTAAATACCGAAGGCTTGTGTAAAATATTCCAAGCACCTCATAACTTGGAACAGGGGACACCGTTCCGTCATAAGATCTGCACTCCTTATTTAATGTGTTTGCAGGGTTTACCACCATTCAGACCCCGGGATTTGGCCTACAAACGATCACTACACTAAATAATATATTGCTGCTCGCTGCGTTATAGTGATTTTTAAACCCCCCACCTGGCCGGTGTTTCCCGGGCCCCCGCCCCCTCTAGGTGTTCAAGATCGAGGTGCTAATGAGCGGGCGGCAGCACACCGTGGAGAAGCGCTACAGCGAGTTCCATGCGTTGCACAAAAATGTGAGTCTGCCGCCCTAGCGCTGCCTTTCTACCTTACAGCCGAGCTCCAGCAACACGAAATTTTCTTTGGTATGTACAGCTCTGAGTTTTCTCAGTTCATGGGTATGCACCTGTTTAAAATATACTTTTTTTTTCTCGCAAACTGCAGCCTGGTTTTTCTCTTTCTCATTGATGAAGGGCTCCTTCCTTGCTTTATGACTCTTCAGTCCTGCTTCTAGGAGCCTGATACGAACTGTCCTAGCAGTGCACTTCACACCGCTTAATATTTCCCGTTCTTTTTGAAGGTCACTTGAGATCATCTTCCGATTTATGAGGCACTGCCGGATAAGTTGACACTCATCTCTGGCATTAGAAAGTTGCTGGTACTGCTGGTTAGAAACTCAGCCTGGAAGCAGGATTTTAAAATGCTGAATTTTCAGAAATATAGAGCGGTCTATAATGGCTCTGTGCTCTCCCATTTAAGTCTGCTCCCTACACTCAGCATACTCCTACACTCAGCATACTCCTACACTCAGCATACTCCTACACTCAGCATACTCCTACACTCAGCATACTCACTCCTACTAATATTATCTGTGGTTTGTGTTAATTCAGTTGAAGAAGGTTATGAAACCACCTGAAATACCATCCAAACACGTCCGCAACTGGGTTCCCAAGGTTCTGGAGCAGAGACGGCTTGGTCTGGAACAATACTTGCAGGTAAGATTCCTGTATTTCATGTGCGTCTTCACATTGCTGTCAGTTGTACCCTTGAAATAAGTAGTTTGATTTTCATGTTTCTGCTTGCAAGTTTGTTTCATGAAACCCAGCTCTTTTGTATTAAAATGCTTTTTCTAGTTTGGTTGTTGGCTGTAAAAATGTTTTGTTATGTTATCATTAATGAAATTTAAAATATTGTTAATGAATATCATTTTTGTAAGTAGGGATGGGCCGATCTGCATTTTTTCAGTTCCGATCCAATTCCGATACACAACTCTGATACCGATACAGATTCTGATACAAGAGCTCTTTTTACTTTAATGTTTTAATATTATAAATCTATATTCATGTTTTTTAAAGTAGTAAATGCAGATGAAAAATGTTTGAGGCATTTTACAGTTCAGTTTGAATATCTTGCAAGTGAGAATTTGCCGGTGGCGAATGCTTAAAACGCTCCACAATTTTTCTCTCACTGGCAACAGCGTCACTAACACTTCGTTGCGATCGCAGCCCCTTGTGTATCACAAGCTCTAACAAGTGCGCAAAACAGCCCAAGATAGTAACTTCCAAATCATCCATTGATTTTTTTTTTTTTATATATTACTCACACTGTCTCGCACAGTTGTGTACGCTTCATTTAGTGGGACTTTCCACTAAACTCCACTCTCGCCTCTCAAAACTTTTGTTTTTACAACAAAATCGCTGTGCATGCGATTGATTGTACAAATCTGTTTAGCACGAAACAGCAGATACCTTTTTAGACTCTGCCGAAAACCAAATAAGTAAGTATCGGATGTGGATTGGTCACGCGTGGCCGATACCCAATGAAAATAGGTCTGGATCGGCAAAAGACATAAGTGATAGACTGTGAAAGTTTTTGAGGTTTGAATACAAGCATGCTGATGTTATCAGTTCCAGCTTTCAGTATCATGCATGAAATCTGATATTTTGTTGCACTTAATCTCTTCGGTTTTGAAGTACTTCCTCTGACGCAGTCCATTTTGCATATTTAGACAATAATCATGGAGAATGACGTCCTTCCAAAGATATTTCTAGACTTTCTCAATATTCGCCACTTTCCTTCCTTGCCAAAGACGGAGAGTTGTGGGTAAGATGTAACATATATTTTTAATATATATTTCTTCTGATATATTTTTTTCTAGTTGGCATGTTGTATTACTTTGGAATTAAAACTTACCCTAATGCGGTTAATTAATGATTTTTTCTCTTAAAGATCCCTTGAAGCAGAATCGGAAGAATCCAGGTATGCAAAATATGCAAATGATTACCAGATACAGATGGTACAGAGGGTGTGAATTTCTGCCACAGGTAGCGTAGCTGAGCACATGAAGTGTAGCGATAGACATTAATTTTACCATCTCAAGTAGGAAATTGTGGATTCAAGATCTGTACACAGACATGAGAAATGTAGTACAGGCAAGTGTGTGATGACTGTATTTCCTGCACCCTGCCCCCCCTCCAGTAAACTATCCCATCAGCCTGTCCTGCTGTTCCTGAGGGACCCATACGTTCTGCCAGCTGCCAATGGTAAGTCCCCCCCAGTGATTATTTAACTAACAGCCCTTGCTTGGCAGCAGCATAATTTTTACATTTCATTTTTTCTCTTTTGTTAAATATTTTCCTTCGTTTTATTGTGAATACTTTTCTAATTGCTGTCATTTAAAATTGGGTATGTTTGTTTTTCCCAGATACATTTTCAAATGTAATCACAGAGGGTGTGATTCATGGAATATTTTTCCCAGACCTGCAGCCGAGGTAGATCAGAAAATGACCTTCAGGACCGCTTTGGATTTTTCAGCAAAAGGGATTAAACAACATTGCAGCACGTTAGGGCTTACATGTAGAAGTACATACATGTATTTTACCATATTCCCCTTATCCACAAAGGAGTTTTCATAACAGATGTGTATATTTCCAGCAGATGCTATAAATAATGTGAATAATGAGATGAAACTGACCCATCGATTTGATGATGGCTTTGCTTCAAATGAAACAAAACCAGCGATTCACACTTCATTTTTCTATGAACTGACGTGCACTGTGCTAAATGTCATGCTAACCAACAGGCGTGTTTTTTTTTTTTTTAACTCCCAAGGAAAATAATAATCTGACAATATTGTTTTTAACACAAATGATAATAATGGAATTTACAAGGGAACTTTTTGTGTGCGATTGAATTGTTATTGTTGTTGAGAACACGTGGGTTGACGTTCCTGTGTGACGGGAGCTCTGGTCTCCAGTTGAAGATGTAGAGTTGAGGCAGCTAAGCCGATGTGTTACGTGATCCATTACTGTTACTGACTCGTTTTGTAAATGCGTGGGACTCTGTAGTCAAACACCAGTCAAAGTTCCACACTGAAGTTCACCAAGTGATGTGTTAATTTGTCGGAACTGTGATACTCACACATGGTGCTGCTTTTGACATGCACCAGTTAATTAGTCCTGAATGCACACTGTTTGTCACTCATGCACATCCGGGAGATGGACGAACACTATTTGTCTTCAAAGGGACTGCATTGTGGAGCCCCGAGTTGATGTAATGTCTCAGTTTGATGTACAGTATCTGAGAAGTTCAAAACGGATGTGGTAGATGTGTGGTTACATGGAGACATGCGGCATTGCTGATCCTTTGGCATGCTGTATGTCTTTTAAATGGTCATAAAAAGTGATATTTCGGAACACTAGCCTACTGACATGTCTTACACTCCAACATTGTTGTCCCCACCTGGTAATGTTAACTTTTGTTTTCAAAGGGACAGGTGTGATCCGTTATCTATGGGACACTGATGTGATGTGATGCTTATGTACCCAAGATTAACATTTAAACTTTTAGCACTTTAACCATGTGCAGGACTATGTAAAACTGAATAAATGGAAGAGCAATAAAATGTCTTTTTGTATTTCCTGTATTTTTTTGGGAAAAGCTGTTTTAAATACAATGTCTCAATTCTGCATGTATGATACATTTAGGTGAGATATATAATTTTTTCCCCCTCAATAAAGGCAGAAAACTCATGATCTAGTGTCTGCAAAATAAAAACAAGCAGTTGATCACTTAACAGATGCTTTTATCCAAAGCAGAGTCCCCTTTTGCGAAAGCAGGGTCAGACAGGGTCCTGGGGCAGTCGGGGTTTCGAGTCTTGCTCAGGTGCCCAATGCAGAAATCATTTACCAACCTGCAACCAGCAGATGTGAACCAGCGGCCTCCTAATCTCAGGCATATCAGTCTAATCCACTGACCCACAAACTACCCCAAAACCACAGCATGGATACAAGCTTGAATCTGGGTCCAGCAGCACTACAACAGTGATCTCCAATTAACTGAGCCAGCCATCTCTTTGGCTGAATATCTTTACAACTATTACTGACCTGTAAAACAATTTATTGTCCAATGACGTTGGTGACTCCAAATACAGAAAATAATACTGTATTAATACCATTCCGTCCATACCATATGTATCGTCAATAAATCTTCGTAAGAAGCAAAATACTGATCTTTAAGAGTTAAACTGCTTCTAATCATGTATGCGACCTAGCGCCGTCTATCGGTTGCGAAATATTTGGTCGCTACACTGCGCATGCGTAGGGGTGTTCGTATGTTTTACTTATATAGTGCCATGGATGCACAATGCGGGGACGCTTCGGATTTAAATGGCCCCGAAAAGTACTTCAGTAACAGCACAGTGGAGTCTAGACGTCCTTCCGGCTCGATTGAGAGGGGACAAGAGGAAACATCCGATGTATTTGGGGATTTACTGGAACTGCCGGTTGAAATAACTGAGAGACGTCCCACATGTGTAAGATGTGGGTAAGTTTGACGAGCATTTCCGTATCCTATAGTAAACACCCCTCCTATTTTATAAATGTAGCATTCCTGGCATCTTTCAAGCAACAATCAGTAATGTGATTTTTTTATCCAGACGGTTAATCGTTATATTTTCTTCATATTACCACATGAATTTATACGCGGTATGCTTTAGGCTTCTAGGATCACAGTGAAATAAACCTAATCTTCAAAACAGTATTAACAATGACCTCATCAGTCAGCGACGATCGAAACTGCGACGGGCACCTGGCGTCCGCCGGTCATAATAAATTGCCTATCTTTTCCTAGTTTAGAAGAAAAAAGACATAACAGCTTAAATAAAATCGATGTTAAATACTGCAGTTTAAGATGAGATTAACTCCATTAATCTCACGAAGGGCGTTACAGCAGCAGTCATACATAGGATCAGACAATACATGCAACGTAAGAGCACATATATATATATATATATATATATATATATATATATATATATATATATATATATATATATATATAT